CTGAACTCTGCAGGAAGGTAGATCTCCAGGAACAGGGTTGGGCACCCCTGTAGTAGAGGTTCTTCAGATTATTAAATGTTCTTCACACTAAGAAAAAAAATGGTTCTTTTAAGAACTGTTCTTTGGGAAACTAACAAATGGTTCTTCTATGGCATCACTGCAAAAACCCTTTATTTTGGAACCTTTACTTTTAAGAATGCACACGTGAAATTGATTTTAAATATATGTCCTTAAAAACACTTAGGCTATTTATGACGATTTAACGCTGGCGCATCGACTTTGCGCAAAGCAGCGGCGGTTCAACAGTCAAGCCATGGAGGATCTGTAACTTTATCCTACAACTGCTGAAATCCGGGGACTGCCGGGGCTCGAGTCGTGAAGAAGATCCCACGGGTCATCATCGGAAGGGGAAACCAGAGTTTCCCTGGAGATGTTTCGACCCTCTGACGGCTCAAAGTCCAAGTCCCCATCATCATCCTGAGCAGCTCTGGAGTCTGACGCCTCTGCGTACCGGAGTGCGTTCAGCGGGTCTGATGGATTCACCTGTCGGTTTCTCCTCTCCCGGTGCTGCAGGCGCTCCAGTGGAACAGTGTTCTTCTCGGATAAGAAGAGAGAGGACTGTGGGAGGTTTTGTCCCGCTATGAACACCTGTTTCACCCCATCCAGGTTAAGCAGTATGTCATGCTTGGTGGAGTAATACACGTCACGATGGTTTTCCAAAAGTTTGTGGTGAAAAAGACAGTCTTCCTTATTGCAAACCGTCTAAAGACATACAAAAATATACAAATAGTTAAATAATGAATCAAAATTATTTGATTTATCTATAGCGCCATATCATATTTTTTTTACAAGCATGTTTTAGCCTGTAAAAAGCAAATCTGAAATGTTCGGTTAGCCTAAAACCCCCCCGCAGCTTTAGGTTTTAGGTTTATGGATCAAACTTATTTACAATAAAAAAAACTTACTGTTATCAATTAAGAATTATTTAGCATTTTTACAGTTTTTAACGCTAAAATTCAACATTTTTTACACATTTTTTACAGTGTGGCAGGGACAGAAACACAAAACTCGCACTTACACTCACACTCTTACAGACTCTCTCTCTCCCACACACACACATACACACACATAAACACACATACACATACTAATAGCAGGCCCAGACAATAAAATAATACTATTGCTTTTTTATGTATGGATGCATTGCAAAATCAAGGCTGCAAGTAAAATAAACATATAATGTATGTGTATATATATATATATATATATATATAAACAAAATATACAAACACAATAAATGGGTTGCAACATGGCAAACCCACATCTACCAAATGCTGCAAACAATAATTACAAGTCCGTTGAAACTGTAAAAAATAAATAAATAAATAAATAAACAAAATAGTAAATAAACAAATATATAAATACATAAATATAATATTAAAAATAAACAATTTCCATTATTCATATATAATATAGACTAATATATAATATGATATAGCAACATATATAATAAATTAATGATTGTAAACTTTATATGATATTATAATAATATAATCATATTATTTATTTTTAAATACTTTATTTTTCTTTTTATATCAGGAGCAATAACCATAATTTGGGCTTGGAGAAGTAATGATTATCTCTCAGAAATGTAAACATTTCATAATAATTTTTAACATTATGAAAAAAAAATGTACAGAGAAACTGTATCCAAGAGATTTCATGTTTTGCATATGAATCAGACAAAAACATCAAATAACCATGACAGGAAAGAAGTTTATGAATTACTTGCGAGTAGTTTATTGAACTGTTGTCATGTAGTATAAATGAACCTGTATGAGTGTAACATCCTGATAGTGTTATTACTAGGGTAAAAAATCAGTTCTGGGCACACTGTGCATGACTGCTCACTGTACTTGCTACTTTGAGCATAATTAAAATGTGAAACAAATACACATGCATATGAAATAAAAGAAAAACAATAGTTTTATTAACATCAGGAATATGACTCAACTGCTGTGCACAGCACATACGTAGAAAAGTAAAGGGAAAAAAATTCTTAAATATATTAGTATTTATACATAGCATCAGCGCTTGTTCTCAGAAACACAAGTATGTCCTCAGTTTCTTACTGTCAAAAAATCTTTACAAGAAATCATAACTGAGGCAGAAGCATACAGAAATACAAAACTTTTAAACAGAGAAAATACAGCCACACAAAATCCTGGATTTTACTGATGTGCAGAATGACAAGTGCTGATAGTCAAAATTAATTAGGAAAATATTGTGGATATGAACTGACTGAACTCTGCAGGAAGGTAGATCTCCAGGAACAGGGTTGGGCACCCCTGTAGTAGAGGTTCTTCAGATTATTAAATGTTCTTCACACTAAGAAAAAAAATGGTTCTTTTAAGAACTGTTCTTTGGGAAACTAACAAATGGTTCTTCTATGGCATCACTGCAAAAACCCTTTATTTTGGAACCTTTACTTTTAAGAATGCACACGTGAAATTGATTTTAAATATATGTCCTTAAAAACACTTAGGCTATTTATGACGATTTAACGCTGGCGCATCGACTTTGCGCAAAGCAGCGGCGGTTCAACAGTCAAGCCATGGAGGATCTGTAACTTTATCCTACAACTGCTGAAATCCGGGGACTGCCGGGGCTCGAGTCGTGAAGAAGATCCCACGGGTCATCATCGGAAGGGGAAACCAGAGTTTCCCTGGAGATGTTTCGACCCTCTGACGGCTCAAAGTCCAAGTCCCCATCATCATCCTGAGCAGCTCTGGAGTCTGACGCCTCTCCGTACCGGAGCGCGTTCAGCGGGTCTGATGGATTCACCTGTCGGTTTCTCCTCTCCCGGTGCTGCAGGCGCTCCAGTGGAACAGTGTTCTTCTCGGATAAGAAGAGAGAGGACTGTGGGAGGTTTTGTCCCGCTATGAACACCTGTTTCACCCCATCCAGGTTAAGCAGTATGTCATGCTTGGTGGAGTAATACACGTCACGATGGTTTTCCAAAAGTTTGTGGTGAAAAAGACAGTCTTCCTTATTGCAAACCGTCTAAAGACATACAAAAATATACAAATAGTTAAATAATGAATCAAAATTATTTGATTTATCTATAGCGCCATATCATATTTTTTTTACAAGTATGTTTTAGCCTGTAAAAAGCAAATCTGAAATGTTCGGTTAGCCTAAAACCCCCCCGCAGCTTTAGGTTTTAGGTTTATGGATCAAACTTATTTACAATAAAAAAAACTTACTGTTATCAATTAAGAATTATTTAGCATTTTTACAGTTTTTAACGCTAAAATTCAACATTTTTTACACATTTTTTACAGTGTGGCAGGGACAGAAACACAAAACTCGCACTTACACTCACACTCTTACAGACTCTCTCTCTCCCACACACACACATACACACACATAAACACACATACACATACTAATAGCAGGCCCAGACAATTGGAGGACAGAGTGAAGGTACACAGGACCTAAAATTTCCACTCTTTTATTAGCCCCCGGTCCAGTGGACCCGAACATCCTGTATGTAATATAAATGTGTAGGGGGGTGTACAGTGAGTGGTCATTGAAAATTTGTTCTGATATATGTTCTTCACAGAAAATGAGCCAAGGCCAACGAGTCTGAGTTCGAAAAAATAATTTATAGTATAATTTTTCTTTTGATAAATAGTGAAAACGGGTCCCACAGACCCGAATACCATACAAAGGTTACATACGATTACAAATTACTTTTTATAGCCTATACTTTCAACTTAAATGTTGTTTACAATAGACGAATACTTACAGAAGTGAAAAGAGTCCCTCCTGCGTCCATGCACACAAATCGGTTACTTTTCACTCCAAATATTGCGAGACGGTCTCTGCTCTCTGATTTCAATAAAATTACACCTGTTGAGTGCAGAATATAAAGAGGAATAGGCTGTGAATGACATTATTTTATTGATAAAACAATAAAAAAAAAATCATGATTCATAGACTGGTAATTTTTTTGAGGTCTTGATTTTTATTTTTACTTGCCTAATATCCTAAATATGGATATTATGCTGGTCAAAAACAGTATACTCACTGTAGGACCCCCGGTTTGTAGTTTTGCGCACATGTCCATTCGGGCTGATCTCTAAGTAGAAGTTGTTTAAGTCCGAAGTGGTCTGAAGGTGGATGTACCTCCGCGGGTTCCCCCAATTGGAGCCCAGGAGGGGAGAAGGGTTGGGGGCAGCATCTGCAGATCTGAATCCCTGGAGAGCCGTGATCCACAGCGCAAGGACAGAGGAGTGCAGCATGTGCAGAGTTGAAAGTGCGCAACGCATCTTCACAGAGCGCAAAGTATCGATGCGTAAAACCAATGTGCAGAGCTGAAGAAGTTGTGATGCGTGAAAGTTGGTGAGCGCGGCTATTTAAACGCATCCTGTGCCACTCCTTTACGCAACACTCGTCCGCAGAGCCAGAGGATGTGAGGAGGCGGGTTCGACATGTCCACCTTCTGTTTGTTATGAGGGTAATTGACTGGTAAACCATAATTGGCTTTGTCAATTTGGCACAGCTTTGACTTTCTATGACGTCTTGGTGTCTAAACAAAATTGAAAACAAGAATACATTTTAATAGTTTTTGTGTATGTGAGAATCATTTGGTTGTCTCCCAATGTTTCTCAAATGCTAAATCAACCTATAAGTAAATATACGTTTATTTAGCCTATATATTTAGTATATATAGGCCTAACCTATAAAAAAGGTACAAAGCTGTTACTGCGGAGGTATCTTAAGACAGGAAAGGTAAAAAAGGTACATCTTTTTACCTTATTTACTCCACAATGTCACATATTACTAGCCTACTTTAAAAGTACAAATTAGTACTTTTTTAAAGGGTACCGCCCAAGTGACTGTTTTGTACCTTTTTTCTGATAATGTATTAAGTGACTGCATGATATACTGAACGGATAGTTGCTTTGGATAAAAACGTCTGCCATACCAATAAATGTCAATGTAATGGAAATATAGTATGACCTCAATCTGAACTTCCTCAAGTTGGCCAGCAGAGGGAACTTGTGGCTCTTTCACGAACAAGTAACGCACCAAAAATTGTCCTAACATGAGTATAGGCTAGCGGTGCGCAACACCGTTTCAATTCTTTTCATTTTGATTTCATTTTATTTCGAACGAAATATATATATATATATATATATATATATAAAACAAAATATACAATCACAATAAATGTGTTGCAACATAACATAGGCAAACCCACATCTACCAAATGCTGCAAACAATAATTACAAGTCCGTTGAAACTGTAAAAAATAAATAAATAAATAAATAAACAAAATAGTAAATAAACAAATATATAAATACATAAATATAATATTAAAAATAAACAATTTCCATTATTCATATATAATATAGACTAATATATAATATGATATAGCAACATATATAATAAATTAATGATTGTAAACTTTATATGATATTATAATAATATAATCATATTATTTATTTTTAAATACTTTATTTTTCTTTTTATATCAGGAGCAATAACCATAATTTGGGCTTGGAGAAGTAATGATTATCTCTCAGAAATGTAAACATTTCATAATAATTTTTAACATTATGAAAAAAAAATTTACAGAGAAACTGTATCCAAGAGATTTCATGTTTTGCATATGAATCAGACAAAAACATCAAATAACCATGACAGGAAAGAAGTTTATGAATTACTTGCGAGTAGTTTATTGAACTGTTGTCATGTAGTATAAATGAACCTGTATGAGTGTAACATCCTGATAGTGTTATTACTAGGGTAAAAAATCAGTTCTGGGCACACTGTGCATGACTGCT